ATCAACATTGCAATAGAAAATACAAATAGCCGTTATAGCCCTTACAAAAAAACTTTAAAATGAGCACAAACTTTTTTATGAAATGTTTCATGGTAAGACGGAAGTTAGGGTAAATGCAGTATATTCCGACACATTAAGAATGTAGCAAAAAATGAATGGCTATAAAAAATCACCGTATGCACAACTCGAGTTCTGTTTGCTTTACCTCACTCTCAAAACACCGCACTACGCGCCAGCAACAATGAAACGTCACAAACTGTTGCCATATTTATTTAAAAGCCTTTAGAATGCAAACCTACCAAATCCCTATATTCCGACGCTGTGTGTGACTAAATTAGGCACATTGTGAGACTAATTTTGGCTGCGCTTCAAACTCTACTAATTCGTAATTCCAACCCCCTTGTGTTTGAATTCCAATCACTGTGTGAGCTCTACTGGAATATGACACAGCCAGAATTTTTTTTATTTTTAGAATTAGAACACTATTGAATATTGAACACTATGTTATTAGACTTTTAATAAGGAGATATTAAGCTTTTAATTAAGAAAATTTAAATTTTTGCACACAGCTTGGAACGAGCTGTGTGTCCAATTCCAGTTGTGTCAGAATTAGTTTTCATGTGTCTAAATCCGTTTCTGAACTCAATCATCTATTAATTTATTTACCACTCGAAATCAGTAAATACAAATATACTTAAAGGATTCCTAATATATTCACAGACTTGTTCAAAAGTCTCAAACCATAATATTCTTTTTACACACACAGTTTATCACTATCTGGTAGAGCAAGTCAACTATCAACTTTGACAAGGTTTTTCGATGATCTCACTGGTGACGTGCACTGTCTCTCGTTGGATTTCAACATTTTCCCGCCAGATGGCCCAGACCTAGTGTTTTGGCAATAGTTTGGTGCGCAATAGTATGACGTCACTATTTCAACCATAAATGAATGCATGGAATGAAGACAAAGCTTAATATAAAGGAAAAACTAGAGAAGTGCCAGAATTACTCATGATGTCGGAATATACGTACCGCATTTACCCTAGGTAGGGTAAACGCGGTATATTCCGACATCGTGGGTAATTCCGTCACCTCTCTAGTTCTTCCTTTATATTAAGCTTTGTTTTAGTTCCATGCGTTCGTTGATGGTTGAAATGGTGACATCATACATTTGCGCGTCAAACTACTGCCAAAACACTAGGTCTTGGCCATCTAGCGGGAAAATATTGAGATCCAAAGAGAGACAATGCACACTACCCAGTGAGATCATCGAAAAATGTGTCAAATTTGACAGTTGACCTTGCTCTACCAAATAGTGAATAACTGTTTGCATAGGAAGAATATTATGGTTTGAGACTTTTAAATGCGTCTGTGAATATATTAGGAATCCTTTAAGTATACTTGTATTTGCTGATTTCAAGTGGTAAATAAATTAATAGATGATTAAGTTGAGAAATGGATTGAGACACATGAAAACTAATTCCGTCACAACTTGAATTGGACACGCACAGATCGTTCCAAGCTGTGTACAAAAATTAAAATTTGCTTAATTAAAAGCTTAATAGCTGTTATTAATTAAAAGCGTAATCAAGTAGTGTTCAATATTCATTAGTGTTCTAATTCAAAGCCGTGTTGTATTCCAATACAGCTCACCAGGATGGAATTCTAATTTCGAAGGTTCATATATTATTTTGATCCACCAAGACCACTTTTTCGATCCAACATCGTTATTTGAGGCAAAAAATGAACTTCTTAAAGGCTTAAAACACGTACGCTAACTTGCTCAGTTTCTATAAAGTACGTAATCACATGGAAGTTGTATGCCTGCACCTTTCACTCAACAATTAAAATTAGACTTATAAAAAGTATTAGTTAGTTGAAAATTTGTCTCTTAAGTTGACCGCAATGAACTAAACTTCATTAAGTAATCATTAGGCAGAGTTTCTCATCATGCACACTAAACATGCAATATCAGAGTTCAGACGAGCCAAACTACATAACACGTGTGCTAACATGCTACTGAATTGAATAGGTACCTAGCTTCTTTCCCGCTACCGGTGATCTAGCGGGATGATCAATCGTATACTTAATTCTGACTGTAGGTCTCAGTTGTGGGGTTAAGTTATTATGTAGGCAGGATTCCTTATATTTCCCTTCTCTGTCTCTCTCGTGCGGGCGGCCGACGTCCCGTGTAAGCAACCTCTTGTTCGAGTGTCTTCATTTCTGTTGCTTTTCACCTGTCCCTCCTTGTCACTTCGTCTCTTTGAGATGCTAACGCTGCTTCTTTCGAGCCAGCTTCAGCGGGCTGGACATCTGAGACCTTCCGACTCTTGTGGGTGATGAATAAGTGAGACCTTCCACCTCTATGGTTGATGTTCATCTTGACTTTCGGTGCAAGATAGCTAAATAGCTGAAGCGCTAGTAAACATTTGGCCACTAAACTAACTAACTAATTTGTCTTGGTTGTATACAAATTACGAATTAACTAATCGTTTGTATACTTAATGCAAGAGAATGAATAATTATGTTGTTTCTGAAAAACTCTCTGCTTTGCCACTATGCTGACGCTGTGACGCGTAGTGCGGTGTTTTGAGAGTCACATAAAGCAAACGGAACTTGAGTAACGCATACGGTTATTTTTTTATAGTTTTTCATTTCTCAATGCGTCCTTAATGTGACAGAATATACCGCGTTTACCCTAGTATTGACAGAAAAAATTTAAAAATAACAAAATTGTCCCTCATTACCTAGCTATCCATCCTACACTGTTTGACGGTAGAAATACTAATGGTATGGAAAAACTAAAAATGTTTTTAGTTTTAGGTTTTTAGGTGCATTTAATGGTATGGAAAAAAACTAAGGTACTAATGGTATGGAAAAATGGACCTAATATATTCAGATGGGGTAAGACAGGACCAAAATCACTAACAAAGCCCATAGCATCTATACCATGAATAACTAAAAAACCCTAAACCTATCACAAGGTGTAGTTATGCAATGGGATTCTAAGCTACAACTCAGACGTTTTGCATCTAACATAGTTTTCTGTACAGATTAAAAAAAGTGAGCCAGGCTGGGGTAAGAAAGGACCAACATGTAATTCTTATGTTACAAGGTTTTTAATGAAAGTACAAATCTGATATTCAATATTATCAATCTAGAAACACATTATTTGATTAAACAATCACTTGTTACTGTTTTGTGTTGTGGGAAGTCAACTCTAACTGTCTCTAATATCAGTCACATTGAAGTTTTTGTCACGAGAAAGCTTTGTTAAGCATAGTAATAGTGGGTTGGCTTTGGTTCATTGTAGAGCACTGCTAGATGCTTCACGTATATTCCATTAGTGTCATTGTCTGAAAAATTTATCAAATTGGTAATAAAACCAATGGATAATAACTTAAGTGTCAGACATCGTGTGTTTTCTTGCTAACTGCATTTGTGGTGCACTTCTTCAAACATAGCTCATGCCCTCGGCCCCTCTCACAGAGTTGTGATCATAATTATTTATCATGTTTCAGTTTCACACAGTGATTTTTCCGCGAGCCAATCTTGCACATAGTTCTGCAGCTCACTAAGGGGATAGACATCCCTATTTTCTATATCCTTTTGATGCAATTTAAAATAGTGCACTAAATTTCTCTAATTAAAAAAGCTAACAAGTTATAATGAAGTTTGAGCAAAAGATAAAAATTTTGACCAAAATACTCTATGTACTACACAATAATATATTCATATCAAAACTATTTTTGATAAACTGTAGGGTAATAGAGGACCATTTGTGGGGTAAGACAGGACCATTTGTGGGGCAAGACAGGACCATTTGTGGGGCAAGACAGGACCATTTGTGGGGTAAGATAGGACCAGTTGCGTGGTAAAACAGGATCATTTAGTGGTCCCGTCTTACCCCATGTCCGGTCCTTTTTTACCCCATTTTAGAATACATGTCAGGCAGTGATGGTAGCAGGTAGGAATGCCTAGTATGTCTAAAAAGTTGCCTATTACTTGAGGTTATCTGCCTACATCCACAAACCTGGCCAAAAAAATTTTTGTCATTAGACACTAGTCTGGAAAAGTCCTATTTTTGTCTGAAATATCGTGGCTCTAATATCATATAATTTAGGTATGAAATCTCGCGGCTCGAATGTCATAAATTTTTGTTTGATTAAAAAATCGCGGTTTGCACTTTGCAAACATGTCATTTCATAAAATTTTCAACTTCCGCAATCAGCCTTAACCTAGTGGTTTTGCAGTATTTCGACACGCAAATGTATGACGTCACCATTTCAACCATCAATGAACGCATGGAACTAAAACAAAGCTTAATATAAAGGAAAAACTAGAGAAGTGACGGAATTACCTACGATGTCGGAATATACCGCGTTTACCCTATTTTGTGACCCTTCTTTACATAGGTTTTCTTTAAAAATTAGCCAAAAATTCATTATTTGCAGAATAGGCAATAGGGTTGCCACAAACACTGAAATGACAGGCAATGATTGTTCTAACATATTCTTTTGTCAAATTGAATTCAGTGCAATTAGAATGCACCGTGCACGCCATGGGCTGGTCCTTTCTTACCCCATGAAGGCTGCGATCCTGTCTTACCCCATTTGACTATAATTAATCATTACTCATCAATCATCATGCATTATCAAGTAGTTCTATCTATCTACAAGTAATCTATCAAAGATGAAGCCTAGTAATTAAGAACTCTCAAGTCAATAATTATACCTAGGTATACCTATTTATTAAGAATTGTAGCCTTGTAGGTTTTGCCTTTGGATACTTGTAGAACGTTAAGGAGTTTAATTGATAATAGGTAGGTACTTCAAGACTTTAAATAATGCTTATAAGTTATAAATATATGCGCTTCTAGTTTAAGCTGCATGAAAGAAAAAGGACTGCAGTTTACTTAAGTATTGAATCTCATGGTGCTCAAAGAACATAAATCTCACCATTTAATTGAGTTAAACGAAATTAAATTAATCAACTCGTACCTCGTCTGGCTCCGGTGGGTAGAAATTACAGCCAGCCGTTTTTGCCTTGTGTGATGAAACATTTACCCTAATGGAACAATCAAGTATTTATTTCATTTTGAAGTTGAAGATGAAGCATTGAAAAAATAATGTATGATAATTACAAAACGAATACTTCAAATGCACAAATTTTTACTGAGCTAATAACTCTATTCAGTAATGAATGTCAGCGTGCTAAATGATTCAGACGCAAGCTGTATAAGCTTTTCGATAATCATTATGATAATGAAGATGGTGCTTCTTATATGAAGGAGTTTACTTGTCAAGATCAGAGTTGAGTTTCATGACTTGACTGTTTAAGGGAAGAACTACTCATCAGTAATTTGCAAATAATTCGAACGTTATTTTGGATTAATTATGAAGTTTAATGTTTTTAATGCATCATTGTATATGCCTTTAACATTGCGAATTACCTTCATTTGGTTTCTGGACCAATGACAGTGTTCACACCGTGCTTGAGATTCAAGGACACTATTTCAAGTGTGTTATTTCATTAGTTAAAAATAAACCTGCTGATGTCATTGGTGACTTGTGTGCAGGATGTTTAAAATGTTTCTCATTTGATATATTAATCTGTAATTTATCTGCATAATGTGTTATCCTCTTAATTTTATATTTACCATGCGCAGCATACGTTGACACTTCAGAGGGCAGCGTTCCCCGGAAGCTGGTGTGTTCAAAATTCAGTTTCGAAAATTCAAATCGCAGGAACAATATAACCGAAGGAATGAGAGAGCGAAGGAAAATATGAAGCCTTACAACAATTGGGCTAATGGCGGATGGATTCAATAACTTGAAAGCTCGTATTTTGGTGCTAGTCTATAACGCCGCTGCACGAAGCATTTATAATCCAAATGCGTTTTAAAGACTCTCCGGTGGGACTACTTCCAAATTGCGTTGGATGTGATTTTTTTAGAAAATAAAGCTCATAATGTTTTCATATAATAGAAAATAAACAATATCAGAATGTGCAAGCAAGTAGTTTTACGTGTTAGTATGCCTAAGGTATGTAATGAGATTTGGACCAAGGCTTCCGAAAAAGGCATTTTCTTGCGTTTGTATGATGCGATTTAAAGGACGATCTTCTCCGAAAGAAGGGTCGCGTCAATGGCTAGTTAGTGTAGGTATACAAATTCGCGTGTATTTAGATGCAGATCTCGATAGCTTAAGGTGCTTGTACACGGGGATAGTGCAGACGGCTAGTAAATCTGGCTAGTGTCGGTCGCTTGGTGACTATCCAGCTAGTAAGCCTGTACACACGAGGAGAGTATAAGGTGCCGCTATCTTCTCGTTCGCGCCCGCCAGTGAGTCGTTAGAAGCCGTTGAGTGAGGTCTGTGAAGATGGATAGTGTGATCACCTTCAACAACTCGAGTCTGTACGTCTTTTTTATACTCCATATTCTAGCCCTTAAAAACACAGCGTCGGGAACAACTAAACCCTGACTAATAAGGTCTTCTTTCCGTTTCAAAATACTCGTTTCTCTCTTCATTTTTTTGGAGTAACCATCACGGAAAACATAATGCTTTAATTCATATTTTTGGAATATTTCAAAGAATAATTGAATATCGTCTGGAATCCACTTTGTTGGATTCCTCTTAGAAACATTATCGTTCAAACAAGCCCTGATTCACGTGACCCAAGATACTTCACAGGAGCGGCGCAAATGCTCTCACTATGGCTGCATCAGCGCTACTAGCCACTTCTCCACTCTCCAGCCAAGATATCAACACATCGTTGTCTCTCTCGGCCGCGCCTCGGGCACTTGCCGGCGCATGCCTCTGAAGCGGCTGAACCCCTATACACGAGGCTAGTAGCGTGGACAGTTCAAGCGCCGGATGAACTAGCGGCTAGAACTATCCCTGTGTACAGGCACCTTTAGAGTCCAATGGATCACAGAGACCTTGTCACAGCACATAGAGTTAAAGAGTCGCTAGGACATGAGCTCACCATGGACGAAAGCCCACACGTCAATTAAAGATCTGGTCACTTTAATAGCTCCCCTTGCATCTCGCACGACCGTAGCGATATAGAACTTGCTATAGTTGCCTTATTGCTGGGTGTAGGACGGTCTGCGATGTTAGCCGTTTACCTGTACCCTTGTTGTGACTTTATTACCCAACACCCCGTGTCAAGATAAGTCTGGAGGAGTCTTTAATTAACCCCCACATTAAACGTAACATCCCAGTCTTCACGTTAATCGTACAATATAATAATCAGGAGGCACATAATTACTCTCCCCGACAAACGTTCTTCAAGACCTGAAGATTTTGACGCATATGATATGAAACGCAAGCTACCGTTTCCTTTTTTCTTAACTTGTATAGCCAACAGTGTAGTGAATAAGAATACACAGATTGTCATGAAGATAACAAAATTATGAATTGTAGAAGGGATATCAATCGACAATTTGAATACTTTTCTTGAAGTTATTTAATATGGATTTTCTACAGGAGAAGAAATCATAACTATTTCGAAATGATATTGATTGAACTTTACGGATTAAACTATTTTGCTGCTAAAAGGTAAGCCAAACTAAATGCTAACGATACCAGACTGAATTCAACGAGAAAACACATTAATCCGAGCCTAACCAAAAGTAGGGATCACGTAAATAAAAGTACCTACATATAGGATGATCCGGGCCCCGTCATAGAGGATGATCTAGGAAATCACCTTTAATGGCTGTAAATTCTAAAAACGATCGAAGATGGATATTCAAAATAATTCCAAGAATCGAGTTCAAGTCTGAGCAGATTTTTCCTCCATAGGGACATCATCCATGCTTTTAGGATCAGCTTCAGTGGCGCAGGGATTGACCTTGAGGACTTGATTGAAGATTCTATCCTTGATAACCTGCGCCATAAGTCCGTGCAAGACCTCCATGGTTGTCTTGCAGGAATCCCGCGTCACACGACTGAGCTTGTCTTCTCCTTTACGATCGCCAGCGTCCACTTGGCCGATAAGCGCCCGGCAGCTCACGGGCTCGGATGTCTCTAACTTGTCGCTGAGGTCCACGATCTGCTGAGTCGTGTACTCGGCGTTCTGGTGGAGAATAAACTTTATCAGATACAGATGATGGCAGTAGTGAAGGTACAAGTTAGGAGGCAAATGATAGATATATAAAATAATAATGTCACTAGATTGCTCAAATCGCAGATTCACTAGAAATTTAAAAGAGAAGAAAACTCCACAAAAATTCAGCATTTCTCTATTGAAAACGTTTCGGAGACCAGCTCTATCGTCAGTTCGATAAATCTAGAACACAAATACAGTCAGAAAATTAATGAAGTTTGGAGTCATAATAAAAAAAAACAGAAGTTAAAACCTAAATTTACAGGCAAAGGGCAGAATAATAAAGAAATACCTATCTATTCACAATTTCCAATGGATAAGAACTGTAGGCAGCATTTAAACTAGGCACGCCCTGCCTTTCTTCCAAATTGCGTTGGATGTGATTTTTTTAAAATAATAATAGCGGTTTCAGCGTTTATTACAGTGCCGGAAATGGCTATACGACCACCCACTTTTCTCCAAATATTTTTTCTTGCACAAAAAATTATGGGATTCTAATTTTACGAGGTTAAACTACGTTTAAAAACGGTTCCAACGCTATGCGATAAAAATAATTTTCTCAAAATATATGAGAAGAAATTATGAAAATGAAAAAAACCTAGGTGGAAATGGTTATAAGACCAAGATATGTTTTTCCGTTTGTGGATCACATACACTCGTTTTAATAGGCAATCTCACCTCCTTTCGCCATAATTACCTCAATGCATCTTCGCCCCACGCTATTTACCATATAATCCAGTGTCTTTTGAGAAATTGTATCCCAAGAACGAAGGATAGCCGTGCTCAGGTCACTCACAGATTGAAACTGGCGCTCATTTTGGTAAACATCCCTCGCCATGATGCCCCATAAGTTTTCAATGGGGTTGAGGTCAGGACTAAGCGCCGGCCACGGCAAACAGAGTAATATTCTGCTCTAGGGACCACATGTTTGTTGCTTTTGAGGTGTGAATCGAAGCATTGTCTTGTTGGAAAACATATAATCCCTCATGTTTCTCAGCGGCAAAAGGGAGAAGTTGGTAAAACAGCGTGTGCTTGTAGCCACGGAATCTTGTCTCCCATGTAAAATAGAGAGTTGATTTTCCTTTTTGGCTAAACACCCTCCAAACCATGACCGAACAACCACAAGATTGCCGCGTGGAAAAAAATTCAGGCTTACGGTCCAGTGGTGCCAATAGCATGGCCATCAATCTGGACCATAAAGATTGAACTTTTTACACCACTGAAGATAATCTTGTGCCATCCCTTTACCAATAAGCGAATTTTTTTCAGCAAATTTTTGTTGGTTGATAATATACTTTTGTTGGAGCACAGGGGCATTTTTCCTCGTCATGTATTTGAATTTCTTCGAGTCATGCAATGTCTAATGGATGCGTCGTGCTGTCACATTAACTCCAGTGGCCAATTTATAGAAGTACAGGTAGCGCAAATTTTAGAAGCCTCAGAAAGCAGTCTCCTAAGATCCCTGTCGGTTAATTTTGGGGTTGGTCCAGTGTGCTTTTTTTACCTGTAGGCGTCCAGATTAGCAAAAAAATGATTGTGCAATGGGTTTTGAGCGTTTTATTCCCATTGCGATGTCCCATTGGCTTCTACTGCATTTCACAAAGCCGAAAATCTGCGCCTTCTCGGCCTCAGTGAGTCTTGTCCCATTTGGTATATTTTTTACTTCAAAAAATATAAATGAGGACACTGAACTACACCAGAAAGGCCCTAAATGACAAAAATCAAGATATTATTTATATTGCTGTACTTTTTAAAGTAAAAATATTACAGAAAGATACCAAAGTGGAGAAGAACCTATCCTGGTCTTATAACCATTTCCACCTAGGTTTTTCTAATTTTCATAATTTCTTCTCATATATTTTGAGAAAATTATTTTTTTGCATAGAGTTGGAACCGTTTTTAAACATAGTTTAACCTCGTGTAATTAGAATCCCATAATTTTTTGTGTAAGAAAAAATATTTGGAGAAAACTGGGTGGTCGTATAGCCATTTCTGGCACTGTAGGCCGTTCGCTGATTCTTAACATCGCAGAACATTCACAACATTTTGCGGTCTCGAACTCGCAACTCACTGCTATATGCTATTTAAAATAGCTATATAAAATAGCATGGCTGTTTGAGTTGAACTTAGCCTTATGAAAATTAGGCTCGAAATGAGAAATTTCGGTACATAACCATATAAGGCAATCACAGATCTGGAAAAAGATGAGTCAACTGGCACAAGAAAAATATTGGTGCACTGATTTCTAAAAAATACAAGTATTAATTATTTCCAACAACATACCGTGAGCAGAGATGAAGAGCTGAGGGTATTGACCCAATATTTATTCCAGAGTGAGTCCAGCAGACGCTTGTCAAGCGCAGACTTGAAGTAGTTGACTTCCAGCGAGTAGTACTGGTTACAGTGTACGCCAAAGTCTTCTATTTTGTGCAGCGGGATGGTCTGATACTCGGACGGCCCATCATCAGGAGGCTTGTAGCCCTGCATATTTGATAATGATCGTATAGGTACTTTCATCAATACCTAATTTCAACTTTCATGAATAATTTTATGGATAGTTTTGCATCATGATAGAAACACTGATACGTATATTTCATTTTGGCATGAGTATAAATTCAACCAATTGAATCATGAAAATTATCTGGATGAGTTGGGACGAGTAAGAATTTTAATATTTCAATGCCCTTCATAAACATGAATGCCAATGCCTAAAATTCTATCAAATTCCTCAACCAATATGAATTAGTATTTTCAACACTGAATATATACAGGTTATAATTACGAGTTTTTAAAATATTTTAATCAGAAGCATAAATAGCTCACCTTGGGATATGTACGGAAAGCTCCAATGTTGACTTTACCAGAACTCATGGTTCTGATGGGATCAATGACAATGGCTACAAAGGGTTCTTGATAGCTTTGGTTTAGCAGCTGAGTGCTAACATCAATACCTGACAGCCAACAACCATAGCCAGGGTGGCTGTGATACCAGCCTATCACATTCTCCTGACGACCGACCTGGGATAAAAAAATTAAATTCATCTGAGATTAAATCAAGTGGAGAGCTAGAATGATCTCGAGTGCATCAAGGGTTTAACAAATTTCATAAAGGTTGGCATCTCTTTCACAAGTGAAAAATTTACCTAAACCAGTAAACAAGTAAACCATTTACCTTTGCAGCTAATTTCTGTCAAAATTTTTTTAAAATTCTAATAAAAAGGTAAATCATTCTAAACATTTTAGTGCAATTTTATAAAGAAAAATTGCCAGCATATGAAATAAATTTGAATATAATTTCATGTCAATGGATAAATGCACATGATACACAACTTATGATAACCTGTTTAGCTGCATTGACGTAGGTGCTCATGTATTCGTAGGCTTGACTTTGTGCATTGACACGAGTCTCGGTGCCTTCCACGGGAAGAGCAAAAACATCCATCACAATCATGGTAGCACCATCAACCTTGCCCAGCATCATTCCCATCACCTGGTTAGGGGATGAGAAATAATATTTAGTATTAGGCATGAGTATTCATACATGAACATGAATTCAACAATATCTGGCCATTAAAAGCATTCTGGCTTTACCATCCACTAAAAGTTGAATTCTCAGTCTCCACAGGATGATTTAGTCAAAGCTTTAGTTCAGAAATAATAAATCGGACTTTATTTTTATATAGAGTTTCAACAGTTCAACTTTCATCTGCATTCTCTACAAGACCCCGAAAAACCAGTTCCACAAGGGCTCGTGTTGTGTATCGTTTCGTGTGCCCCATTGATGGCTGTAATGCCTCATATCTCGGATACACCACTTGAATCATCTTATTTACTCTGATGATGGCTAAAGTGTAGATAGCCGAAACGTTAGAATATATGGATTTTTATTTCAGAACTGCGATCGTGTCTTTTTTATCCAGAATCATTATTCGACGCCTAAGTGTAATTGAAAAGGAAGTTTTTAGAAAACTTGAAAAACTGTTGAAACTCTATACAAAGCTTTAGTTCTTGCAGTGAAATTCTTTATCAAGCTAATTAAAGATAATTGAAAACTTTATTCGAACAGCTGAATTGATGTGTGGAGAATATAAAATTATTAGTGAATATTAGCACCAATATTTAGCAAGCACCAAGTATTGAAACATAATTTGCATAATAAATTTTGCTCATTAGGGAAACTGGGAATGTTTTGGATAGGATGTATGCAGTTTATTCTTCAATTTACAAAGTTTAGACATGAGAAGATATAGGGAGCATAGGAATGAAGTGCCAAATTATACATCAAGGTCAATAATTGCAGCATAGTGGAGGTTAATATGCATCATAGCAGAAGGAGACAGCAAAAAATGTCCTTTAGCTTAATTCACACTTGCTTCACATAGTATATTCTTGGCAAAGGAAAACATAACTCTAGGTACACTATTTGAAATAATGAAGGGTTTGAGGCATGACAACAGTGTTCAAGAGCCATTGTTCACTGCCATTGCTAAAATGGCAGTGAAAACACAACATTTGATTTTGAAATCATTTAAAAAAAGTACCTACTAGTAACTGCAAGTACTAAAAATTTATCAAGTAGTTAGTAGTACTTTTTTAAAAATTTAAAAAGTAACTTTACTAAAATAAACTAAACTTCACTAAACTGAACTAAAAAGTACTAATAATACAAACAGATGTAAAATTAAGGAAAAACTTGAAACTCACCTCCAAATTGCCACCTGATCGAGCATGCATGACCATTTTCAAGAGAGCCAGAGCTGAAATCTTGATGGACTTGAAGAAATATGGGCTGCAAAAAAGCAAATATTTTCTATTTAGTAAAACATTTAATGAGTTGAATAATCAAAACAATGTGAATCTTGATGAAAAGTCATCATTAATTTGACATGATGAAAATATTTTTGAACAAATCAATACTGTCAAATGGGGTAACAAGGGACAGGTGGGGTAAATTGAGATAGTTGTCCCAATTTCATATAAATGTAGCAGCTAAACAAATAAAAATATTGCAAAACTAAAAATAGTGACAAAACACAAAAGTTAAACATTTTTACAATCTATTTTTTTCTTTTGCATCTGGCACCTTACAAATAGCATATGGAATTTTTTGGAGATGCCATACAATAGCCCTCACAAAGACCTTTGAAATGAGCCCAAACTTGTTTATGAAATGTTTCACTGTAAGAAGTTATTAATGAAAAACATTGTCCCCTATTACCCCTTTGACAGTAGATCTTCCTGAGACAGGTCAAATTATTATTAAAAGTGCATTATTGGGACATGAGATTCCAAATGCAAGGAAATTTTGTTACTTTGGCCAAGTGGCAAGGCATACCGTAGTAGTTTTATATACTCTTTGTAAGTTCAATTTTGAGTCCTATAAGCAGACCAGCAAAGTATCAGGGATACCTACCAGCATTATCATATGTAAGAAATTAGTTTAAATCTTGAGTATATGAGGAAATTAATAATATGCATTTAAAAATTACTTTTTAAAGACAACACTTCTAAAGAATCCAGTGTCTCTGATGTTACACATGTACAATGAACTTCTAATTTTATTATCAAATATTACAAAAATTAGTTGTTAAATTTTATTTTTAAAATAAAAAAAATTCAATTTTTCAAAATTATTTATTTATTCTGCAAATTGATTTATACATTGCCTCCAACTTTACACAACTAGCGTAAGTGTGGAAAATTTCAGATTGATTGGACAGGTAGAATTGTGTTGAATATCAATTATAAGATTTGTGGAAGACAAAATTACTTTTTTCAATTTTTTAATTAAAAAAATTGGTAAATTTTTAAAATTATATATTCTGTCAATTGATTCAAACATTGCCTCCAACTTTACGCAAGTGTACAAAATTTCAGATTGATGGGAAAGGTTAGAAATATGTTAAATATCAATTATAAGATTTGTAGCAGACAGACAAACAAACAAACAACAAGAAGTATGTTAAAGATAAGTTTTGTAAAAATGAATTGATTCTAAAAAATCTCTGGTTTACCGTCACTATGCGGCAGTGGTAAGTGTGCCCGGCAGCCGGCACTCATACCAGCATCATCATAGCATACATACAAAAGATATTGATTTAAATCTTGAATAAACAACAAAACAAGGGAAATAAAAATGAACCAGAGTAAACGCGGTATATTCCGACATCGTGTGTAATTCTGACACTTCTCAACTTTCTTCCTTTATATTAAGCTTTGTCTTAGTTCCATGCATTCATTGATGGTTGAAATAGTGACGTCATACTATTGCGCGCCATACTATTGCCAAAACACTAGGTCTGGGCCATCTGGCGGGAAAATGTTGAGATCCAAAGAGAGACAGTGCACGTCACCCAGTGAGAACATCAAAAAACGTGTCAAAGTTGATAGTTGACCTTGCTCTACCAAAAAGTGATAAACTGTTTGTGTAGAAAGAATATTATGGTTTGAGACTTTTAAATAAGTCTGTGAATATATTAGGAATCCTTTAAGTATACTTGTATTTGCTGATTTCAAGTGGTAAATAAATTAATAGATGATTAAGTTGAGCAACAGTTTTAGACATATAAAAACTAATTCCAAAACCGCTTGGAATAAGACACACACAGCTCGTTCCAAGCTGTGTCCAAATATTAAAATTTTCCTAATTAAAAGCTTAATAGCTTTTAATTAAAAGCTTAATTAAAAAATTAAAATTTTTAATTAAGCTAGTTCTGAGCTGTGTTGTATCCTGATAACAGCTCACACAGGGCATCGGAATTGCAACACAGGGCACCGGAATTACAAATTAAAAGAGTTTGAAGAGCTGCCGGAATTAGTCTCACAAAATGCCGGAATTAGTCTCACAAAATGCCAAAATTAGTCACACACAGCGTTGGAATATATGGATTTGGTAGGTTTGCATTCTAAAAGCTTTTAAATAAATATGGCAACAGTTTGTGACATTTCATTGTTGCTGGCACATAGTGCGGTGTTTTGAGAGACGAGAGTGACATAAAGCAAACAGAACTTGAGTTGCACATACAGTGATTTTTTTTATAGCCATTCATTTTTTGCTATGTCCTTAATATGTCGGAATATACCACGTTTGCCCCCAATTCTAAAAAACCCTGATTTGATACTAGCCTAGGTAGGAATAGGATGTACCTACTTTGGACTTTGCAAGCCATAAAATTTCAGCAGCACTGTAAAAATTAGGCAAAAAAATTTCTGGTTTTATGGGAGATCATGATATTTAAAAATTGCATGCATAAATTATTTTTTTTTTTCATTTTTATAAAAAATTTGGGCAAGGGCCACAAGACTGTGGCAGGAGTGCTGTAAAGTTGAAACTGTCCATATTCCATACACACACTACTGACACAGTGACACTAGCACTGAAATTTACATCTCAGTAATGGTAGATTTTGCCTAGGCTACCTAATCAGTTGTGTACTGTTACCATAAATAATGGTGGCCAACTTTGAACTTGCCACTTTGCCAGTTAGCAAGGTCTTTGTCCTCAGAATTCAGAAGACATAGATTGATTATTTGATGTTAATGTGTTGCCAAAGATCTTCAGATATGTCCTTAATAATTACATTTTTGAAACATTGGGGAAATTGATCTTAAGTTTGATGTGGAGTGTGGACAGGTCAGTCTGCCAGGTATTTGAAATTGTACTCACTCTTTGTCCCACGGCTTGGCATCTAAAATTTCTTGCTGCTGCTTCGGATCATACTGATATATTTCATCGAGAGTATTGACAGATGCAATATTATTGGTTAACTCCCAATTTTTCTGAGCAATACTGGTCTGGCTCATGCCGCTCGCCATTCTTGAGACTGTTGAGAGTGTTGCTGCTAGCCTGCTACGCTACCTCCGCAAGCAGTTCGGAACTTCGGACAAGACCATCAAGTAACAGATACCCCTATAAGTAAAACGACACAAATAACTGATTACGTTTTCTAAGTCCACTAGCCCGGAAAATGTAAAGTTCTCTGAATGCTTGATTGTATTTATTTTCAAGGGAAGAAGTCAACTGAAATGTTTGAATAATCAAATTTAAGGCACAGGTGTTCAATCTTATTTATGTAACGGCCTACAATAAATCGAAAATATATTGTCCCTTCTTCGGTACGAGTCAGCTGTTTAATGTTGTAATATTTGATAGTGTTACTTCCAGCTATTTGATTAGAGCTCATAAGCCAAATACATAATTTATTGGGAGTATAGAATTGCGCTTGAACAAAAGATTAAGGAAATACAAAATAATTATTTTGATTTCCAACCCTAATGAATATTAAAATCACCAAACAACCAAAATGAAGATATAAAAAAATAATAATCTCAATTAAAGCTGTTTGGAAAAATAACGAACAAAGGATTTTCTAAGTTCTAGGAAAAAAATTCAAGAAAATTTTTCGCATCGTTTAGAACTTTTCATTAAGCATGAGGTCAATGGACCTCAGAAGTGGTCTCTTTTATAATATTTTCGATATAACAAATATTGAAGCGATATACTATATACCATTTGAACGACGATGGCGTCATTTTGCAGAAATGTTAATCTGAGCCAGCCTCGTGTTTTAATAACAATAGCAACAGAAAGTTGTAATATACAGAAAAATTATAGAAATCTGACTACATTATTACGCTTCAGGTGGCCGACACATCTTTCAGAAATTTCTGCTGATCCCCCTCGGTGTAAAAACAGTTTTAATAACTTTTGAACCCTATACACCAGTTAATCTTTGAGTAATTTTTGTAATACCAGAAACAATTTACACTTCTATGTCTGAAATAACAGGAATACAACCGAAGAATTCAGGCTTATCGTCAGGTGTGGATGGTGCCAAGAATAGTTGATACCCCCAAGCATGATTGGTGCCCTCAGTCGTAGTAGGTGACCTTATTTGCAGTTGGTGCAACGGTGCCCATAGGTGCGGTTGATGCCCTATGTCGTAGAAGGTGCTTCCAGCTGTGGTTGGTGTCCCCAGGTGTGGCTGGGTTTCTCAGGTGCTGTTCGTTTAGTCTTCTCTTTCTTTTTGATCCTCCCTGGTGTGGTCTCCACGCTGGCCTGGTCTCCTCCTTTGCATAGTCTCATCTTTAGCGTGGTTCCCTCTTTGGCGTGGTCGCATCTTTGGCGTGGTCCCCTCTTTGACGTGGTCGCATCTTTAGCGTGGTCCCCTCTTTGACGTGGTCGCATCTTTAGCGTGGTCCCCTCTTTGGCGTGGTCGCATCTTTAGCGTGGTCGCATCTTTAGCGTGGTCGCATCTTTGGCGTGGTCGCATCTTTAGCGTGGTCGCATCTTTGGCGTGGCCTACTCTTTGGCGTGGTTTCCTCCCTGGCGTGGACTATTCACCCGACTCCTTTAATTTCGAATTAAAAAAGAAGGAACTTTCTGCGACTCTACGGCATCAAGTTATGAAATCTAGATAGTCTTTGCGCTTAAAACCTCTAGTGTGTGATTTAACTTATAATCGAGTTATTACTGTTAAGGCAATCAACCTAGAAAAAAATACATTATCGATTGACTTGAATAAAGAGCCGGTGGAATGGAATTTTCAGTAAAATATTAACGCAATTGTGATGATTGAATTAAAATCATTCTATGAAGCCGATTTTCTCAATGAAATTTGGAGCGTTGTTCGTCTGGCATGATACGAGACGACGTTCGGAAGCAAACATCGATGCACAGCCTGTGCTTTAATAAATGTCGATAGGCTACTGGAATCTGTCCATCAATATCGTAATTGTTCAATCACCACAATCACTAAAACCAATGTCAAATCAGGTCGCAATTTCATACAATGCTAAAGATTTCGGAACTACGTATAGCTATGAAAACACAAAAATCGTTAGAGTGTCGATGCACTGAATGTATTTACTAATTCCTATTATTTACTAATTCCTATATTTCGTTAATTTATTTATATTGTAGTGATCAGTATTCTTTAAATTCATTTTACTCTACAACATCTATCAACCAAGCCCCCTACTCACCACGGATATCCATGTGAATCAATACCAATGGATGCAGAATTCCGATCAGCCCTGAACGCAATTTTTTAAATCACACAATTGGCAAGGACTGCTTTTTATACCGTACGTCTGACGGCATAAAGGTTGGCCGTCGAAGCTCTCCCGCTGCCAGAGGCTTTCTTGCGCCGCCGATCACAGAGGCTGCGTGCCCCGGCGTCCATTGATATTCATCGGGTGTGTCAAATGGCGAATTAATTGCACCCGAAAGGAGACATTTGAGCGGATTTCACACATGGGCGAATCCTCAGGAAAATCTCCCTTTGATTACTGTCTGACGCGCGTATGTGCGCGATGCAGCAAAGCTCCTTGGCGCTGTCGAATAAAGGTTGTACAACTATAATGCTATGGGTTTATATCGATCCTCGCGACTCGCAGAATGGACTCCTTTGCTCTATTAAGTCCAATGGACAAAATATGGGCGCATCGTGCATGTAACGATGAAGCTTCATGGAGTAAATGAGCATCGTACATGTAATGACGATGTTTCGTGGACTGAAGGAACATTGTATATTTAAATATACAATTGAAGATTGGGATATCGTAACGTTGTATAGATATAATAATGAATCTATATGAAATATGGTTGAATGAAACTGTAATGAAAATGCCGAACGAGAAATAAAAATACGTGAAAATTTTGTCCTAGACGATGATGAGGCATTAAAAATGTGAACATCGTGTGTGCAGTGATAATGTTGAAATGAAATTTATTGTGTACGTTCAGACGATCTTGTCTGGGACATTGCAATATCTAGCATATAACGATGACGCTGCAGGAATAGAGTAAAGAGTTGCTGTCGAAATGGAGCTGGCTGAACATGGAGCGAGCTGGCTGAATATGAAGCTGGCTGAATATGGAGCTGGCTGAATATGGAGCTGGCTGAATATGGAGCTGGCTGAATATGGAGCTGGCTGAATATGGAGTTGGCTGAATATGGAGCTGGCTGAACATGGAGCTGGCTGAATATGTAGATGGCTGAATATGGAGCTGGCTTCAATGCGAAGATTCCAACTCTTGAATGTGAAGCTCCTTGAATACTTTCTGCACCTCATTACATGCAGCTGAACTACACGCTTATTACATGCAGCTGAACTACACGCTTATTACATGCAGCTGAACTACACGCTTGTTACATGCAGCTGAACTACACGCTTATTACATGCAGCTGAACTACACGCTGCTCTCGTGGAGCTGCAATAGACGCGAAGTGTTAGCATCCTGTAACTCTTGGACAAAAATTTCCCACTTTTTTTCTAGTTTTGTGTCGTACAAAAAATGTAATTCAATGTAAAAATGTAAATTTGGAAGAATCAGGCGCTCATCAGCCCCTCTCTGATTTTCCGTAAAAAATTTTTCGATTTGTTCCGACTCACGGTAGACATTAGCCACCAATGTAGTAGTTTTCTCACGTTGCGTTCGACAGAGCAAAATATATACGTAGAGGAGTAAATATACGCGAATAACCTGTCAGAGTCTCGGTAGCTTGCTGTGTGGTGACTTAACCGCTACTCAAAAGTGGAAAAATAGACGACGCTATATACATTATGAATGTGTAGTTATCTACATCAGCTTTGGTACATCATAGGAGATAGGTCACACACTCCCACATAATACTTTAAAATTATTACAGCAGCAGCAATCAGTATGTACAAATAAGATATCGATCAGAAGGAGACTTCCGACGAGGATGAGATCGTAAAGTCAACAATTAACCCTTAATACCTAATATAACTCGTACCTAGTACGTTCCGGTCCGCAATACAGATACTTTCCGTAATGTCAGGATACCCGATATTTTCTAACATAAATGACTAAATCCCTCACAGAATGATTGTGAATAAAATGCATCACGGATGTTCGGTGAGGCTAGGTAGAATTTTGCTCATGTAGTTTTAATATATCGTGTATTGGGTGTTACACGTATATTGCATAAAATTTGTTGATTTTTGAAGAATTTTACATGGAATTTTGAAGCAATGTTAAGGTTATGATGCTGTTAACTGCTAATTAGGAGGTTTATAGATTTAGCGATTATTATAAATGGCATGAGAAGTTTTTTTTTCGCAGGAATGTTACTAACTGCGCGCTTATGATGTATGACTTTATACATATTTATAGACCCTACTTGTATAGGCATCCATTGTGTTAAAATTAACAAAACTAAATGACATGAAAGTATTATGGATGGAATGTTGGTGTTTCATCTAATGAACGTAGGTGAAATTAGTAGGCAACGGACTAGAAAATCAAGGACTATCAGTAGTTTATCAGTAGTTTATCAGTAGTTTATCCCTTAACGGTGAGCAGGATGACTCAAATTTTGCAAACAATCTAATTAATTCACCTTAAATTGAAACATAAGTCGGAATTAATTAAGAAATAAAACTAGAAGAATTTTTCCACATATAAAAGACTGATAAATCATAACCTGGGAATCAGAAGTACAGTTTCTGACGACGCATATGCGGCGCTTTTGAATTTGTGGGCGTCCCGCTGACTTAGGGACGCTGACGCAGATGTGCCGTGGGGACCTGCTGGGGACCTGGTGGGCTGGGGAGTGTAGGGGACACATTAATGTAATTGGGGAGCATCGGGAAGACACATTAATGTAATTGGGGAGCATCGGGGAGACGCATTAATGTAATTGGGGAGCATCGGGGAGACACATTAATGTAATTGGGAGCATCGGAGAGACACATTAATGTAATTGGGGAGCATCGGGGAGACACATTAATGTAATTGGGGAGCATTGGGGAGACACATTAATGTAATTGGGGAGCATTGGGGAGACACATTAATGTAATTGGGGAGCACCCTGAGATTATTGCTGAAATTGTGGCGTCTGCGGGTTTGTCATTACTACGATACTAAGATTCAACTTGCATGAAACTCATTTAAATCATGGACATCTTTATGA